TTAGTTTTTTTTTTTTTTTTTTTTTTGCTATTTCTAGGCTCCCTGTACTTCTGTGAGTTTTTTCAAGCTGTCATAAATCTCCAAATTTTTAAGTAAACTTGCTGGGGGAAAAAAAGACATAATGAATCGTTGAACACTACATCAAAAACTATTGATGTACTCTATGTTGGCTAATTGAACAGAATTTTAAAAAGTTTTTAAAAAACACCCTTTCAGGGGTGCCTGGGTGGCTCAGTCGGTTAAGCATCTGCCTTCAACTCAGGTCATGATCCCAGGGTCCTGGGATCAAGCCCTGCATCGGGCTCTCTGCTCAGCAGGGAGCCTGCTTCTCCCTCTCCCTCTGCCTGCCTACTTGTGATCTCTCTATCTCAATCTCTGTCAAATAAATAAATAAAATATATTTTTAAAAAACACCCATTTAAACCTATGTCGTTTTAGGGTCAATTGTATTTTCAAGGCACAGGAGGCAAAATGATTTGTTAATGAATTGGCTGTTGGTTAAAGATGACTCTACAGTCACTGATCTGAGCAACTAGAGTAAGTTTCCTTTTTAGAAAGAAACAGAGTAGACTGAAAGAGGAATGGTTTTAGGGAAAAGAATCAATAGTTTTGTTTTGAATGTGTTAAGTGAAAGATGCCAACTAGACATCAAGAGGAAATGTGAAACAGAGAGTTGGAATAAGAGCACACCAGGAGTTTTTTTATCCATTAGCTCACATAGGTGGCACAACAATGCGGCCACATTTCAAGGAGATTGAGAAACAGAGATTCAGAGAAATAATAAGACTAACAGAAGTTTGCACACCCCCCCATTGATGCTTGAAGTAGAAGTCCATGACACTATTGCCACCTTATCAGGAAACACTTAAGAAAAACATTCATGTACATTAAGACAGTTATGATCAATTTAGTCTTGCTTTTCATGTTTTCTTTTATTTGGGAGATGGGTCATTAATTCTGATTCAAGCTGGTAACTTCACATTTGCTCCCAGGAGGTAATGATTACTCATTAATACTCCATCCCAGTTGTTCTCAAATTTTAGAAAACATAAGAATCACTTGGACCCATGTTAAAAATAAAATTCCAGTGTCTCTTATTCAACTTGTTGCCTTTATCTACAAGCGTATTTTTTTTTCCTGACAAAAACCTATTCATCCAGACCAAAACAACATCACTATTCAGAATGTGGGTATTTTGAGGGGCACAATTACCTAAATATTCAACAATTTCCATCTTTATCATGACATCTGCCAGCCAAAGAAATTCCAACTCATATTTGGGTAAATGAAGTCAATATCCAGTTATTCAGGTCTTACTTTATTGGTCAAGATGGTGGTAATGCAATGCTTCCATTTGGGAACTCACAATCTTTTTGAGGCTATGTCTCTCATTATTAGAAAGGATCAAAAGATACTTCAAGTGATATATGTACCCCTATGTTTATTGTAGCATTATTTATAATAGCCAAGATATGGAAGCAACCTGTGTCCATTGACAGATGAATGGAGAAAAATGTGTTATATATAGCTTCTTGTTTGGGACAGGGCAGGTAAGGCACACCTTTACCTCTGCCACAATAGAAACTGTTCGTAACTTTTACTCTAGCTTATTGCTCTGGGCAAATCAGAGGCCCCTCACCAGATATGTAACTTCTCTTTTTCTTGCAGACGGTTGGAAATTGCCCAGCAGTTCCTGATCCTACTCTTCAAGTATCCCACATGTCCACTCTTAGGAGGAAAACAAGAAACAATGAGATGAATTGTCTAGAGTTTCTCAAGTGGCTATCAAAGATCTCCTAAAAAAAACCCACAACTATCTCATTGTTCCAGTACTACTCACTAGGATAGATATTAAGAGTAGATGATCATAGTAAACACACAGCTTAAATTAGAGAATACAGTTGTTAGTGGTTTTACATTTAGCATCACGGCAGCTGTCATGACCACCTTTTCCGTAAATGGCCCCTGTAATAGACCACATACATCTCAAGTTCTAGGGGCTCCAGTGGTGTGGTTCCCAAGGGAGAGCTTGATTGTCATCAGTTTTTACCCATTGCCAAAGCAGCCTGAATGCTGACTGGAGAGTTTCACTGGTGGTCTCTTCTTGACATCAGGACATACTCTATGACTTGCCAGGGTCACTACAGGTATGATGTAATTGCATTTGTTCTGGCCCCTCCTCCCCTAGGAAGCAACATAGACAGTCTCGGCAAGGGGATACAGAATTTTTCAATTTTTCTAAAATGGGACTCAAAGTATATAATGTATGTAATCTAATGGCTGGGCATGTACATTTATTTATGCCCCATGGTCTTGAACATGGAGCTGTGGTTACCACTCCTTATTATATATTGTCCTGTGATTACTTTGTCCAATGACCTAATTGTAACCAAATCTTGGATAACTATTGGCTTTGTGCATCTCCATCCACAATCCATATGGCACCAAGTTGGGAAACTGAATACACTGTAAATGCATCATCCACATAGAAGACAATGCAACAGGAAGGGATTTGGGGGAAAAGGCTGTTAAGATATCAGAAAATGCCATCTGTACATTCATTCTTAGAAACTTTTAAGTCTACGTACTGGGCCACCTAAGGTGAAAGACATTGTTTTTAGTCGGCCAACAATTCCTAACAAAGCAAAACTTGAGAAAGACCAACAGGTCAGAAAAGGGGGTAGGTCATCATACATTTCTTTCCTACTATGGTTTCATTCGCATGCCTTAAAAGGGGGTCTGTTCCTCATCCTACTTGGTCCCATGCATACATTAGTGGGACTATTGTTGTGGTTTAGTAAGTAGTATGTACATTGTCCTACCCTAGGTCAAATACTTCCACCATTAGTTACTTGGAGCCAGCTGACATGATACTTTCTCTGTACACAGCTGGGACAAATGCTTCCACAAGGCCCCATCAGGCTAGAACATGTCCTAATATTAGGGTCAGGGGTTATTTTTTTTCCATGAAGCAAAAGCTAACCTGTGGTTACTCACAATTTGTCCCCAACACCTAGAGGTTTTCATGAATGTATCCTCTGTAGCACTCCAGGAGGTTAATGCCTTGACAGAAATGTCTCCCAATGTAGAACAATACTCAGTAACTTTTTAGTACCCATAATCTCTTGACTTTTCCTACTGGATTTAAAAGCTGAATAATTAGGGTTGGGGATGTAGAGTATAGCTATGGAATATTTTCTTCCTGTGCATAAGAGGTAAAAGGGTAAGTGTCCAGCTCCTAGCACCTTTACCATCATATTTGACCACTTGAACTATCTCCTGGGTATAAATTCAGTCTGACTTTTAAAATAAAGTCCTCTATGCCACTGTTTAACAATCCAGTAAAAATGACTTCTAGATATATATTACCAAAATTTACACAGAGGGAGAAACCTAAAGAGTACAACCATTGAAGAAATAAAAATGTTGCTAAGGATACATCTCTCCCAATTCCCTCCTCCCCAAAAAAGGATCTGGCCACTACTTTTAGCCTTTAATGAATAATTCCCACATTATGCAAACTCTTTCAGAAAATAAAAGAGAAATAAACTCTCCAAATACATTTTGGAAAGCCAGGAAATCCTTAGTAAATTCAACTTAGTTCTCTACTTAAGAAAAAAAAAAAAATCACCACAAACAAATAGGTTTTATTCCAGGACTTCAAGGAAATTTCAATCATTTGGAAACTTGTAAAAAAAAAAAGTGAATTACAAAAATAAAGGATATGACCCATAAAATTACACCAATAGATTTTTTTAAAAACTTGATAGAACTTAGCAACTCTAGGTATAGTAATAATTGCTACAGTGGGTACTAAGTGCCAAGTAATGTTCTAAATGCCTAACATTTATGAACTAATTTTATCCTAACAAGCACAGCTTTACTTTACAGATGGAAGAACTGACACACAAAGAAGCTAAGTAACTTGCCCAGGGCCACACACCTAGAAAAGTGGTGGAGCCCGGGTTTGAATTAGGGTACTAGGCATAAAATCACTGTTCTTAACTACTGTACTACCTTGCTTTTTCTAAAAACAGAAATAGAGGGGCGTCTGGTTGGCTCAGTTGGTAGAGCATGCAAATCTTGATCCTATGGTCATGAGTTTAAGCCCCGCATGGAGCCTACTTAAAAAAACAAACAAACAAATAAATAAATAACAGGAATAGAAGGAAACTTCCTAAACACAGTAGAATATTTATCAGAAACCAACAATGAAGTAACAAGAGGTGAGATGTCCAGGAATACACATAGAAGATATCAATGAGGCCCCTGTGTGTGATATCCTACACATACACTTCCATCTTTAGAAGCCTCTAGTCTGATTGGGGTGGGGACTGGGATCTTATACCCAATTTAAGGATGGTGCAACTTTGAGCAGAGTTTAAAAAATTTATTTATTAAACAACTACTATATGAAAATTATTATCTATATGCTAAAAGGATACCATACCTAGCCTTAAAGAGCCTACAATAAGTTGATATGAAAGTATACACATACACGTTAAGTTCAGAATGATTGGCAAGGTAATTTAATAGCAGTTACACACTGTAGCACCAACTAATTGGAAGCACTGAGGTCAAATGAATAGAAGTTTAAGAGGGAAGAAAGAGCATTTCAAGGTCTTTCAGAAATGAGAGGGATGTGGAAGAATCTAAGGGACATACATTAGCCAACAGGAAAAGAAAGGCTTTATAGGTAGGGAACACAAGTGATGAGGGCCTGAATTAGAGTGGAAGTTTAAAAACTATATAGGGAGAGCCTTAGCGAAGAGAAAGAAAAGAATGAATCCATTTTGCAATACGACTTATGTAACTGGCAAAGTAGAGGTGGAGTAGAATAAGAAACACATAATCTCTGTCCTTGAAAAGCACAGTCTGATTAATGGGATGCAGAACTGAGAAATGAATTAGATTTTTCAACAGTTTAAAAGAATGAACGAAAGAATAAACAAACTTAAAAGTACATGAAATGTGTAGTCCTTACTTCCGTAACAGCAGAAAAGGATTACACTGTGACTCCCACTCTCCCACATTCCTGACTCACCAGAAAGCATGGGATTGGTACATTTTGATGAGCAGTTTTAAGAGTTCCTTCTTATAAAAAGAAGCTTAATTCAAAGTTCCTTGGGAAATCACATCTTAAGAAACTGAGCGAGCCAGACCTGAGTGCTTCTCTCCAGTGTGAGTTCGCTGGTGATGATTAAAAGTGGAACGCTGACTGAAGGCTTTCCCGCACTCAATACATTCATAGGGTTTCTCTCCTGTGTGAACTCTCTGATGCACAATGAGCTGTGAGCTGTCACTAAAGGCTTTCCCACAATCACTACATTTATAGGGTTTCTCCCCAGTATGGGTTCTCTGATGTACCATGAGACTAGAGCTATAACTGAAGACCTTCCCACACTCATTACATTCATAAGGCTTCTCACCAGTGTGAATTCTCTGGTGAATAATAAGGTGTGAGTTTTGGTTGAAGGATTTTCCACACTCATTGCATTTATAAGGCTTTTCACCTGTGTGAAGTCTCTGATGTCGAATAAGGCATTTACTCAGACTGAATGCCTTACCACACTCATTACATTCAAAAGGTTTTTCTCCAGTATGAATTCGCTCGTGGTCAACAAGTTGAGAGTTCTGATGGAAAGCTTTCCCACATTCACTACATTTGTATGGTTTTTGCCCAGTGTGGAGGCTCTGATGTCGAACAAGACATTTACTCCGACTGAAGGCCTTGCCACATTCATTACACTCATAAGGCTTCTCCCCAGTATGGATCCTCTGATGGTCAACAAGATTTCTATTAGAACAGAAAGCTTTCCCACACTCACTACACTTGTAAGGTTTTTTACCAGTGTGAACCACCTGATGCCGGACAAGACTTTTACTACGTATGAAGGCCTCACCACACTCACTGCATTCATAAGGTTTCTCCCCAGTATGTGTTCTCTGGTGGTCAATCAGTTGGGAACTCTGAGTGAATGCTTTTCCACATTCATTACATTTATAGGGTTTCTCACCATTATGGAGTCTCTGGTGTTGAATAAGATGGGAGCTGTGTCGGTAAGTCTTTCCACACTCACTGCACTCATAGGGCTTTTCCCCTGTGTGGGTTCTCAGATGAACTATGAGCTGAGAGGTCTGCCTGAAGGTCTTACCACATTCATTACATTCATAGGGTTTCTCTCCAGTGTGGATTCTCTGATGCCCAATGAGGTGTGAACTCCGATTGAAAGCTTTACCACATTCATCACATTGATAAAATTTCTGTCCCTTCAGAACTCCTCGATGTTCTGCAGCACTAGAGGACAGACCTGGATGTCTCCCAAGTTCATTATATTCATCACATCCATCTTTTGTGGATTTATCTTTATCCTCGTGTGTTATTTTGAAGAAATCACTTTCCAGTCTGCTCCCTTCTTCATCTGAGGATTGCCCTTCCAGCTTCTCTAAAGTACCTTCACAGGCAGCTCCTGTCTCTGGTTCCCCAGAAACTACTCCACAGAGGCCTCCTGATGTCCCATCAGATGACGCCGGTCCTTTAGAAACTTCCTGCCTTGCAGGCAACTCTGAACGCCGCGTCCTAGTCTCACCTGCTGCCAAAAGAAAGAAGAAAACAACTCTTATTTGTTTCTTGTTCTATTGATGAAACAGTACCATCAGGAGTCTATGGACCTGAAAAAACCTTCACATTAAGGGACACATTAACAGAGGACACCTTAAGAACAAGAGAAAGATGGGAAATAGCTCAAGCTTTTCTTCATGGACAGAAAGACAAAGAGGACAAAGGCAGTCAGTGGGGGAGGATGGAAAAAGAACTATCAGGACAGAGCTCTCTGTCCTGAAGCTCTTAATTTCTCCACTTAATTGTCCAACTAAAAAGAGCAACCGGAAGGCAAGAGCGCAGACTGTAAAGGTGGTGTGATCTTACAGAAGTCACTTAGTAAAATGATGAACTCTAACGTCCTTTCCAACCATGACACTGGATGGTTCCATGGTTCCCAGTAAAGATACTGGGGAGAGAAAGGAGAGGCAAATACCTCAAATCAAATATGAGAAACAGTATGGGCAAACACAGTAGGAAAAAACGTACCAAAAAAGTGATTCTCATATGTGAGGACAGTGACAAGATTCAGAGAAATCACAGGTTCAGAAATGCTGGGGAAAAGTACTGGAAGGGACAGCAGAGCTGTAAAAGTGAGGATTCCCCTAGTCTCTGGTGCACTAGACTGCTACAAGTCAGTACTGCAAGTACTACATTCCTATAAAAATTAAGAAAGGGATCGATAATTTGAAATAGGAATCAAAATATGTCTTTGGTATCTTGATAATCTGGAATCCTAGGAAACTGAACAGTTGAGTATTTCCTTTTGAATTTGGAATAGGTGGAAGTAGCAAGCAATCAGTCATGTTTAAACACAAAACTGTTGGTTCCTCTTAATCATATCTTAACCAGGGCCACAGGCCATCATATGGCATTTCAGCGTATAGGGAAGATATAGATATCTGGCTCCTGGACTCCTACGCCCACCCACCCTCTCTAGAGTTGGCTACTGTGCTACACTTGCCAACCAGAGAACCTGCCCTGAAAACCCCTTTCCAGGAAGCTGTCCTGCCTCAGTCCCTCCCGAAGGGGAAGCTGAGGCAGCCATGCTTTGTGCCAAGTAACTGGTCTCAATACATCTCAGACCATGACTGACTAGACCAGGGCACCAGGCCCAAGTGTAGCGTCTCTGTATGCTACGCCTCTGCTGTGGCCAGGGGCAAAGTTCTGCCCAAACAGAGATGATACTTAAAGGCTGAACCACCCTTGGAGTCCCTCTCTAAGTAAAATGTGAGCTGGAAATAGGGCAAAATAAAGAAAACTAAAACAAGAAGGAGCTCTAAACTGAAATGAGGCACAGAGAGAAGCCAAGCCATTAGGAGCCATAGCATGCAGAAAGTACGTGGGAACAGAAAGTCTAATAAAGCAGCAGCTATGAGGGGACAAAAGATACAGAATGAAGAAAATGGGTAGCAGTGGGAGGACAAAACAGATATGCGGGGAGCAAGGGCATTACATTCCCTGGCATAAAAATTATTTGCTGTTGTTGCTGAGGGCCCTGTTTCCCAAAGGATGGTCTAGCTGGTGGGTTTGATCAGGGTTTCCATTCCTTCAGCCTTATTGTAAGTAACACAGCTCAGTACTTACAATAATGTGAGTGGCTCCCTATTCCTTACAACTACCAACTCTAACCAAACCACCCTAGGTCAGTTAATAATGAAGTAAAGACAATGTTGATAACTTAAGGCTGAGTGATGGGCGCAGAGAGGTTCATTAGAGTATTCTCCCTACTTTACCTCATGTTTGCAACTTTTCATAATAAAAAAGTTGACAAAAAAAAGAAGATAGCAAAGAAAATGTAAAGAAAAGAATGCACACTGTATTACTGGGGAACAGAATCATTACCCAATGAGGCCATGCTGCAGTAATTTTCTGGCACGATGCTCCGGTACACGGCTCTCTGACTGAGGGCCGGACCTTTCCACTTCCTCTCAGTATAGTCCACAGACAGGAACTGGTACGCTGCAGATCCCTGGAATGACAAGCTTCTATTGCTCAGGGATATTCCCGACCTGAAGGGCAGACACATCAGGGTACCAAGAGCCCAGGTCGGGGCCTGGTGGGTAAAGGGGTGAGGGAGGGAGAGAAGCTGGGATGACACATTTAAAGGACAAGTCCAGGGCCAGACAGAATCCATGAACTCAGCAGGCGGGGCCCAATTCCAGAGGAGGCAATTAAGCAGGGAAACCGCAGGATTAATCTCAGAATTGGCCAGAGCCCTGGAGGTGAGCGCTAGCTATTTCCCAGGCCACAGACTTGGGAACTCAGGGAAGACAGAGTCCAGCTCACCTGGGGCCTGACCATCCGAAGCACAGTTGCCACTGCCTGGTCTCCTGACTTCCCAGCTTGGGAAAGGGCAGGCACCTGAGAAGCACACTGACCTGAGGGAGGAAAGAGAGCTATGAGAAGAAACCCTGCCTCGGCCCCAGTAAGATCTGTATCCCAGTGAGTGGGTTCAACAGAACCCAGGCAGCTCCACACACTGCCTCTCATCCCCCTTCCATACAGGCATTATTCTGACTGTGCTGTGACTTTTCCATGCAGGTGTAATTCTGAGGGTGCAGAGGGTTCCCTGGTCCAACTGAGAACTGGCCATTCCTCCCAACGCTCACTCGCTTCAAACTCTCTGAAGGAAGCTATACTTCTGCCCACTTTCTTTCTCTGTGGGTTCCCTAGCATCAGCCCAGCCTGATTTGCATTTCTGGCCCCTCATTCCTGATTTCCCTTCCTTCTCTTGGCTTCTCATTATGGACACTGCAGGCGCTCCGGCCTCACAGCGTCCCTTTTTCTCTGTCAGAGATCTCACGGACTCTCAATGCTCTAATGCTGCTTTCCCAGTTCCAGCTCTCTTCTAGACCCCTAGTACAGACTTCTAGTGGCCTACTGGACATTTCATTTGCGTGTCCCTCATCACTTTAAATTCAGTCAAAAATGGACGTTCTTACCAACCTGCTTTCCTGACTACCCAAGTTCTGTTAATGAATCCAAATATTGGCCAAACCCCCTAATTCCCCTTCCTCTTCATTGTCCCGTGGATTCTTCCTGCACAATGTGTCACCTGTCTCTCTATTTCTATTCCACTCAATATTGTTCAGGCAATGATCACCTCACATCCATTCTGGGCACCGGTCTCTTACTAGGGCTTCCAACCCCTGGTCTCACCATTCACCCCAAAGTGGTCAAATGCATTAGAATAATTCTCCCAAAATACCGTTTCTAACACATCAACCCCCACCCATCAAAATTATCCTAGCCTCAACCGCTAGGCCCTGTTCAATACACCCCACACTCCTCAAAACAGTTCTTCCTTATTCCATTTCAGTGGGGTTCAAGGAACCCCCACTTAGAGTTTCTGCTTATATCCTCTGCTCTGGTGCCTATCACTTTTCTCCCCCCTTCAATTTGCTCCCCCATTTTTCACTGTCGACATCCCACTGTTACCTCATCCACAAAGCCTCCCCTACCCACCCTGCCCATAATGATTTTGCTCAACGTTTACAATGTCCATATTGCTCATTTTCATGGCATCAAACGCCTGGGAACAGATATCACTTAATGTATCTTACAAGGATACCTCTTCTTGCAGTTGACTGACTCTCTGCCAACTAGATAACAAGCTATTTGAAAGTAGTGACTATGTACTGTATCTCTCTGGTCCTCAACAGTGCTTTACCCATGACATGTGCTAGACAAAAACTTGCTAAATGCATGAATGATTGGAGAATAAGCAAAAGTAACAGATAAAGTCACTAGGAAAGGAAGACAGAGGGCAGGGCAATGAGGGATTCCAACGGGGTAGGTTAGAGGGAGATAAAGGAAAGGAGACTTGAGGAGAAAAAGGAGGCAGGATTTGAGGCCAGAGCTAGGGAGTTGAGTACCAGAGTGCCCATTGGGGAGGAGGTCATGAGGAGGCTCCAGGCGGCCTCCAGAGGCTGAACCCTCACTGAAGGGTGAAGTAGGAAGAGATTCTTCTGTTGTACCCAGGGCTGTTGTCTCCTCCAAATGCATTTCCTGTTCCTGTACAGTACCTGAAACCTAGAGACAAGAATTATAATTGGATTCAAAAGAGCATCCTTCAAGGTATGGAACCCAAAACCTCTAGAAATACCCCCAAAAAGAAGCCAGGAAAAGAAGAGCCAATGTCCTTCCAGCCCCACCAGTACAGCCTAATGGGGGAAAAACTGTCAAAACAGGATCTATAGCTTGCAATCCTGCTTGCTATCCCTCTGTTGAACCTCTTGGTAGGAGCCTGAAGACCAGATTATATAACCACTTCCATTTTGTCAATTCTTCAGACACAAATTTGCTCATGAAGAACAATCTAGAAAAAGGAGCCAGGAGGGCAATTCTATACACTCCTTGTGACCTCATTAGTCTACAGAAAAGACAATCAGAAGTACCTAGAAAATAAAAATTGATAGGTGTACATACATACACATGCACATATAACGCTACTGCGGCTGACAGCAGAAACAACAGCCCAGAATAGTGGCTGACAAACCTCAAGAGAGCTTTTCCAATTTCTCTCAACAAAAGTGTTTCTTCCTCAGAGAAGCCATTCCTAACCACAATGACAAAACAAGGGTAGTAGTCATTCTATCTCAAATTACCTGATTACATTTTCTGTATGTCTTAACCCTTAAATTCTTTATTTATGCCTTTATTGTCTATTTCCCCCCCAATAAAATAAAAGCTTTTTGAGAGTAAGAACTTTGTCTTGATCACTTGCTCCTAGAACAATGCTTGGCCCAATGTTGGTGTTCAGTTAAAATTTGTTGACTGACTGTCTCTTGATACTTTTTTTTTCTCTCGATACTTACTACTAGTTTTTAGAGTTATCTGCAAACCTGGTTTTCAATATGTACTATCCCTCCAAAATAAGGTATATAAAAAGTCAAATAAGATCAGGTAATACCAATCTTTAGAGACCTTGAGAATACCTCAGAGATAGGTATTTCTAACCCTTGCTTATTGTCATCAAACCAGCTCTCACAATCTCATGGTTATTTTTTCACCAGCATTTGGAGCTGAAAACCTAAAATACCATCTAAACGAATCACATTTATAGGCTCGTTTGCTTGCACTGCCACGTACACAGTACAGCCTAAGATGAAAATAACTTCTTCACAAATCCTGCTGGATTTGCCCCATTGGGTTACATCTGCTGAGATGTGAGGGGACTCTCTCCTTTACTGTATATCTCTCCAGCATAATGATAGAAACAGGAGGCTCCCTGGAGTCTCCACTGGACAGTTCTTATATATGGGAGTTACAGCTCTTAAATACAGCTGCTGTGGGTATTGGAAGAAGATAGAACTTAACTGCATCATGGTAACACAACCTTGAAATTCACCAACAATTAAATGCTGGTCCAGTTCCCATTCATTACTTAGGATTCAGACTCCCAGGTTTCTTTTCTTTGTAGGCAAGAAAACCCCGTTCCAATTTTCATTCTAAGATGGCACTCCACAGCAAGCTACTAGGGGAAAACCAGTGGCTTAGAACCTAGGGAGCTAGAAAATTCTGATTCCCACATTTGGTAGTAATCAGCAATAACCATACTTCAGTTAAATCTCATGGACAAAGAGAACTTTCACTAATTCTGCCATCTGAGATGAGTCAATTAATCTCTCTGTGCTTGCATCACTTGTCAAATGGAGATATGATTACTATCTGCATATTTTGTAAGCCTGCTAGGAACTGAAATAAGATACAGGATATAAAAGCATTTTGTAAATTGCATGATTCTGCAGCCCTGCAGGGATTGCTCTACAACCCTCTCCAGCCCCAAAGTGCACATGCTCACTCCTGCTGAGCAGAATGAATCTGATCTACCCTGATATTCCTTAATCTTCTCCTGGCAAACTGCCATGAAAAAGTGTGTTTATTCATTTAGCCATAAATACATTTTCTGAGCCTATGGTAGGAAAGACAGTCCCATTCTCATGTCTTCCACATTAGAAAAAACTTAAGCTGACAATAACGGCAGAGTAAGAAATAGAGTCCAAAGACCCATCCCAATCAGGATGAGCCTGATTCATTCAGTTACAAAACCTTAAAATCAGAGCTGGAAGTTCCATGAAAAAGTAATTCTGCATGTAGACAACAGCTTCAGCCTATGCCTGAGTTCCAGCTGGCCTTTCCTGATGGCCTGCTCTACAGATTTCCGAATTGTATTGCCAGTCCTCATAATCACTTAAACCACTCTGTAGCAAAACTATAGGTATATACACAAATATAAATATACAATATATATCATTTCCTACTGGCTTTGCTTCTTTGGCTACACCCTGACTGATACAAGTGGTCACGGAGCTAGTTAGCTCTGTGGTCCTAGAAGCCAGATTTCCCACTGTTATCACACTGCTGATTCTCCAACTTCTTCTCTAATTTGAATTACCTTGGCTTTAAATTTGAGAGAACCCTAGGAAACAGGGTAAACCAAAATGAGAATTAAAGAAAAAAAAAAGAAAGACCCCGGTTGAGTTAGGAAAGTTAGAAAAGAAATGAATGATTATGAGGCCCAGAAATGTCACCTCTCATAAAGAACCTAAAATGCAGAAAGAGAGATAACAGACTCTGAGAAGTCCAAGGAAGTAAGTAATGAGAACTTCTCAAATGAAGGTCCATGTTATCAACATACCCAAAAATCTACTCCCTACCACACTCTCCCATTCTCACCAGTGGGCAGATCCTCTACCTGCCAGGAGTACTGTGTGGATCTCCAGGTTGAAGCAAGGGTCACGACACAGTAGTTCACAAAGCAATGAACAGAGTTTGTCTGGGAATTGTATTTTTGTTTATGACTTGAAGCACAAAACTATTTGCTCACTATCCATGGAACTGGCTCAGGAATCCTAAGGGTAAACCAGCCTAGAGCTTAGGGAACGGAGAATGACTATTCCCAAGCTAATCCAACCACTAGAGAAGGGTTCCAGATGCCATTCTGGGCTCATCTGCTCACCTCTCCTAGGTGTCTCTGAAAATCCTCCACCACAGCCACAGCCTCCTCGCCACTCTCAGGGTGATGCAGCTGCACCCAGGTCTGGAGCTCCCCAGGCAGGATGCTCAGGAACTGCTCCAGCACCAGCAGCTCCAGGATCTGCTCCTTGGTGTGTACCTCTGGCATCAGCCACCAGCGGCAGAGCTCCCGGAGCCGGCTCAGTGCCTCCTGTGGCCCAGACATCTCATGGTAACATAACTGCCTGAAGTGCAGCCGGAAAATTTCACAGACAGGAGGGTGGTTCTTTTGGAGACTGCAGCCCTGACCCCAGGTCTGGTTCCCTGGCTCCTGCTTCATGGTCTGGCGCCCCTCCTGTTTCTGGAGAACAGCACCCCTAGGGAGGAGGCCTAAAGTTCCCCTGCCTTGGGTGGCCATTGTGACCTCCAAGAGAAGCTTGTTTCAGCTGCAGTTTGTCCAATTAAAATGATGCTCTGTAATTCAGGTCTCAGGAGCTGTTTTCAGAGTTGGGGACAGAGGGCAATGGGGGTGTCACCTACAAAAACATCAAGAGAGAAATCAGAGTCCCAGAGTGTTCAGCCCCAAACTGACAACAGACTATCTACAGTTAAAAACCAAAGTTCCAGGGGTGCCTGGGTATCTCAGTCAGTTAAGCATCTGACTCTTGGTTTCCACTCAGGTCATAATGTCAGGGTCATGAGATCAAGCCCCATGTAGGGCTCGGCGCTTAGTGCAGAGTCTGCTTAGGACTCTCTCCCTCTCCCAGTGCCTCTTCCCCTGTTCACATGCTTGCTCTCTCTCTCTCTAATAAATAAATAAATCTTAAAAAAAAAAAAAAAGCTCCAGGAAAAAAAGGAGGGAGGCACAACCAGGGAAGTCTCTAAGCATCTCTCCAAGGGACTTCCCTTCTTAAACTTTCAGTGGCTCCCATAACCTACAAGATAAAACCTGAATGTGTATGCCTAGCATTCACAGCCCTTCACCACCTGGCCTTGGGCCCTGTTCTAGACACACCCGATACCACTCTCCCCAGGTACCCAGGCTAGAGAAGCTGCAATAATCTCCAAATGAGGAATATGTAAGATGATCCAAAGGGTATATTAAGAACACACTAAGTTGTTACTTATCTACTATTTATGTTTTATAATGTGTACTGAAATTTGTAAAACAATACATAGATTTAATTTATAAGTAAACCTATGCTGGAAGTGAATGCTCAAAGCTCTTCTACTCTTCTCTATTGTGACAGGGAGATGCACAATAAACTTTGGGACTAAAGCTCTAAAGACACAGCTAGAAGCCACACATACTCTTGTCCTGTTTCGATTTTTCCTCTTCAACTTTTGACAAACTCTCACTCATCTGTCAAGACCCAAAACAAATACCATTTTCTCCTGAATGCTTGCTTTCTGATTGCCCCATGCAGGAAGAAAGCTGGTAGCCTCCTTCTCTGTACTTCTCACTAAAACACTGTTGTTTTAACTAGTTTATGCACAACTCGCCACTCACACCCTCTTACTGGACAGCCACCAAAGGAGAGGTACCCAGTGGAGTCAGTCAATGCTAGACCTTTTTCTACTCAACCACCTCCACTAGAAAACCTTCCTGATCTCTCCAGGCTTAAGTGTGGTTATTGCTTCAGAGAGCCCACAGTACCTTTTTCATTCAAACCTCTACTAGAACACTTATCACACTGTTTGTGGTTTACACTTCCATCTCCCCCACTTGGGTAAGGACTCAAGGGCAGGGCTGGTTTCCAGTCTTCTTTGTATATATACACTCTGTGTGTGTGTACACATACACCTTTAGTAAACGAATGAATGTGGTTCATTTAGCTGATACTGAAGTGGGGGAAGACACTTTTATCCACTTTATATACCGTAAAACTCTGAAAATCAGTACCTTAGTGGTAACTAGGGCATCAATGCTAGTCACCATGCATCTCAGTACCCTCGGTAAGCTACTTCTCTCTAGCCTTCAATTTCTGTAAAAAACAAAAACAAACAAACAAAAAAACCTTTAAAACAATCTGTTAACTCTTCTCTGAGATCCCACACCTGTAAAAAATTCTGATCATTTTCCTACTAGTTCCGAATGCTCAGCAGCTAATCTCATCTGCACTTTTGGGTCTCCAAGTGACACTTCACGTTTTTAATTTCAAGACTGTGTCTGACCCGCTTCTGACGCTTTGTATTGTCTCTCAGCGCAAGGCTGGGAAAATATCCATCTACATTTTGCGTTAAACCAGGGCTTCTGCGGCGCAGCTCACCTGGCCATGTCTGCCTTTTTCTCCGCTGTACCGGCAGGTGCCGGGCTCCCGGCCAGGCACAGTTGGTCAAGGGTACCGGACAAAGAGGCGGCTCTACAACTGGCAGCTTCAGAGCTCACAGGGGCCGCGCCAATGGCCGCGGAAGCAAAGCGTGTACCGGGCCGGCGTCGCTGCGGGCAGCCGCGGCTCCAACCCAGCGACCCCGGCCCGGACAGCACCTCCCTTCCCGCCCCCGCTCCGCTCACCGGGGTACAGTTGCGGCGACCCTGCGTGCGGGACACAGCCGTGGCCCGCGGAAGCGAAAACAATGGCGGAGCCGGAAGAGAGAATAGAGACCACTTCCGGCCCCTCCAGGATCCCGGAAATCTCTGTGGCGAAGGTGGGCGCGCGCTTCCCCGCCCTCGGAAGGGAGAGCGGGACCGCGGGAGCCAGTACAACCTGCACGCGGGCCAGGCCGGGCCACCTCGGAACGGAGAGGGGGCGGGGCCTAAAGTGAGGTTTCAGGCTGCGCATGTGCCTGTCTCAGACTGTTCAGTCTGAGCTACGCATATGCACCCCAGCTCTGCCCCTACCCCTTCTGCTGACCTTGGGAAATACACCCAACTTCTGAGACTGTTTCTGTCATCTGAAAAATGCAGAGCATAATGTGCGCTTCACAGGGCTATGAATGCTGACAGGGGTAACATACAGACACTACATAGCAAAAGGCCTGGCGTATACTGTATGTGATGCCCAGGACATTTTCACCCAATCTGAGTTTCAGTGAACAGGCATCTCCATCCTATTAATGAAGAAACAGGCCCAGTGACTGATATTTTGGCCAATGGGTGTGGTTAATCTTTCCTAAAGTTAAGCACTGGCAATCTGCTGTCCAAGGAAAGGCCCCCATGGAGTGCGGAGGAGCAGATAAAAAGTGGAAAGGTAAGGGGACAGCATAATCTAGATGCACTTGTCTAGTATCTGGGTGGCAGGAGCTACGCAGGTGGTCTTCACCTGGAAGAATGATTTGCATACAGAAGCAGGATGTGAACAGGTCCCTGCTGCTAACATGATTGAGCAGGCCCTGAAGCCACAACCTCTAGATATAATGGCCATGGATGAAGGGCAGAGGATAAGATCAGCCACTTTCCCATAGAAGTAGCTGTATCTTATGTAGCTTTTTGTAGCCCAGAAGGTAGGTCTTTTACAGGCTGCAAAGTAAGAGTCTCCTGGGGTATCCAGGCATCAACAATATCTCTAGGGTGTTCTGGGCCAACCTCTGGACCTGACATGTCCCTCAGTTCCCTGCACAAGCCAGGACAGAAATAAAGGCATCAGAAGACCTGCAGAGTTTTCACAAGTTCTAAAGGAAGTCTCTTGGAGTAGTCTTTGCCCACTCAGCCGAAAGGGTGTCCTTCTGATATTAAGGTCACCCCCTACATTTGGAAACCTCACAGGGAGGTCTTGGCTATCTCATCCTAGCTTCTGCCTGTCATTGGCACTGGATGTGGCCCATTGGTTCATTAAGGCCTCAGAGACTCAGGATTCTTAAGCAAGAAATCTCTTAAGGCTAGGCCAAATGCTGTCAGCTCCAATTTTCAGGTTTCCCTGATCATGTGTTGTCCAGCAGTTCTAGTTGCTTTGGAGTATGTAGGAGACAAGATATGGAAAACAAGATTGAGTTCTTTTATTCCTTAGAGCTGTTTCATGCCCAGGCAGTTGGCTTTCATTGTCTGTGAGGGCCAGCTTCATCAGGGCAGTATGTCTAAATTTCATAGGTCCCTCTGTGGCCAGCACTATGGGTCTGATCTACCATGACTGGGTTGAGTCCCAGTGGGAAAGACATGCTACATGATGCCTCCCATATAGCATTTTTGGGACACCTGCATTTGGGCCAAAGAGATCTGAGGGAACACCACCCTGACCTCTCTGAGAAACCATCACACTAGCTTTGGTATGAGAGCTAACAGAAATTCTATTTGCCTAAAGCAGCATCCATCAGTTCTGAAGCTCCACCCATGTTCCCATCACCGTGAAAGGCACTATCATTCACCCAGGGACCCAAACTAGAACCCTGGATGTCATACCATGGGCTGGGTGACCATGGCCAAGTTACTGGGCCTTTCTGTGCTGCAACTTCCTTATCTGTAGAATAAAGATAAGAATAATACCTAAATCATAGCATTAATATGAGGATTGGATGAGATAATATATATATAATGCATTTAGAATGGTGCCTGGCACATTGTAGGTATAATAGGTGTTTTCTAGTATGTTTCCTCCCACTTCTTTATCCACTGTATCCAGATTAGAGCCAAGGCCTGCTATCTTTGACCCATTTGTTTGTAATAATAATTAATAATAATAATAATAACAAACTTTTGATTTAAGGAGACCACAAAGACCACACCCAAACTGCTCAGACCTTGTGACATCATCTGTGTGGACAGTCCCCTCTTCAACAGCCAGGAACTCTTATACACCTTAAAAATAAGGTAGGTCCCTAGAATATGGGCAGGAACCCCCAGGTACTGTGCTTGAATGCGAGTGGATGTTGCCCAAGAGCAGAGACTCTCCTATTACCTTGAAAACTTCTACTTGTTCTTCAAGACTTAGCTGAGAAACCTCCTTCTCCAGGAAGCCTTCTCTATATCCCATCTCTCTCCTTGGATTAGGTGCCCCTTCATTTGTATTTGTCACAGTCCTTATTTGTCACACTCTGTTAACACTGTTTACTTGTCAGCCTCCTCCACTGTAGAGTAAGCCCTATGTGAGCTGATACCATGTCTCTCTGGTTCACATTTGAGTCCCCAGGCACAAACTCCAAGCTTGGCTGGTTTCAGTAACTGCCTTCTTGGCTGGAAGAAAAGGTCAGGCCACCTTTGTTTCCCAGGTGTGCCTGGCCTAACCTCTAAGAAATAGGTCCTTGTTCTGAGTTGCTGTGGAAGGTTTTTTAATCAGGGAAGGAAAATCATAGGTCTGGGTTGTGACTGCCAGCTATATTGAGAGGCTTGGAGGGAAAGAGACAGAGACATCCCTTATATCTGCTTATCTGCTTTGTAATCCCAGTGCCTCAGTAAGACAGGATCATTAGTTTGCAGGTGAGGCTTAGCAAATGTCCTGCTAGCTGGGTAACATTTTACTGGCTGAAAAGAGCAAAGAAGAGTTT